TATACTATAAAATTTATAATTTTATATATAGATAATATATATTTATTAAAAATTTATTAGGCATTGGTATTGTTGAAGATCAATTTTTACAAATTAGTACTACAGCGGCTACAATTTGGCAACAAATGATGAAAACTAACAGTATTATTACAATATTAAAACAAAACAAGCATATTAAATGAACAGCAGGCCAGATTTTAATAGCACAATTACATGATTATCATACTTAAAAAGCACCTTATAATGCATCTTATATGGCTAATATTGATAACCCTCGAATATGGTAGGAAACTTGTGAATCAAAATTTTCATATCTTCAATTATTAGCTATCAAATTATTTTCAGTTTCACCACATATAGCTAGTTGCGAACAAGTTTGGTCAATCTGTGGCTGGATTTATAGACAACGGCGTACAAATCTTTTAATTGAAAATTTGAATGCAATTGCTCAAATTCGTTCATACTATATTGCAAACAATAAATTTGAATTACCTTATTATAGTATAAACAAATCAGCTAAGGATATTAGAAAAATACTATATGATGCAGATCTTTATGAAGAAACTGATACAATTACCTTTGAACAAGCTATAACAAATGTTAACATTGATCAGTCTAGTATGAATGATGATGATGATATTGCTTCAGAAGAGTCTTTTGAGTTAGAAGAGGCTTTAAATTTATCAAATTCATTATTTTTACCAAAAACTAGTCAAAATGAGGCAGATATAGATAATAATGTTTTAGATACAGGATCAAGTAACTGGTTGAAAAAATTCAATCAAGAAGAGAATTATGATCTGGCTGAATTAGAAGAAATGTTTTTAAACTATGATTAGAATTTTGTATTAAAGTTTGTAACAGTAATTCGATTTTTTTTTTTTTTCACGCATGTTTTTTTTCTTTTTTTTTTCTTTTTTTGTACAAATTTGTACAAATTTGTACATTTTTTTTTTATACATATTTTGTAAATACGTTATATTTTTTTTTGTACATACCATAATTTTCTTGTGCATGTCTTATTCTACATATTAAATTGTTTATTCTTTGTAATAGAAGCAGAATAACAAAATGAAATAAATTTTAATCCAATATCTATATACAACAATTAGTATCGCACAATTGATTCATAATGTAGCTAATATCTATCAATTCAGTTTACTAACTATTTGGATTATTCATTTACCCTACTATTTTAGAACCATTCAGATTCTTAAATAATAGTAAATTCAGATTTGATTATCTAAATTTACTGCTACAGTAACCGTAATATATTAGTTTTGATATAACAACTCTTTTTTTTTTTATTATTTTTCTAGACTTTCACTGCCATTTGTAGTGAGTGTATTATTATTACACATAAGAATTTTGGTTCTAAAATCTTAGTTAAATCTATAGTTCACCCTGTGGTAGCTTACTATGGCTGTTACCTCTGCTTTGCTCCTTTTATCTAAACATTTAATATAATCTAACCCTAACCCTATAGCTAACTTTCCTAACCACTAAATCCTAACAACATTATGAAAATCAAAGACTAACATGAAAACCTAACACACAGCATGACAAACAAAATGACAAAAAAAGTGCCAAACACAGCATCACAAACTTGGCACCAATGACAAATATATCCAGTAACACACCAAAAAAGCAAGACACAATGGTCACCTGTTCTGAACCTGAAAAGAATTAGTACTGCATGAATATGATACTAAAGCAAAAAAAAAAAAATTAAAAATTAATACTTCGCTATATAATTGAGAAACTCATTGTCCAAGTAATGCACTAGCAACAAAAGAGATTCCAAACTGAATTACACCAATGATAGTAACACGCCAGCAACAAAAGAATGCCGAAATGGACAACACTACCAACAAAAAAGCTTCAGGTAACACATCGACAGCAAAAGAAACTCAAAACTAGATGATACCAATGACGAAGAAAACTCTAGAAAATGAAAGAATGCCAAAATGGATGAAACCAAGAAATATATTACCTAAAAAAAGATCAAATATAAATATTAGCATCATATATTAATATTAAAAAAATGAATAAAAAAAAGATACAAAAAAAAAAATGAATAACTTATCCAGATTGTGCGGCTAAGTTAAAGTCATTTATTTAAATTCTAATCGGATATTTCTCTGCTCATATTTTATAAATTAATTTATATTATCCCTTAATCTGTAAGTCATTTCCAGGCAAATTTGCCTGATTATTTATACTATTATATAAAATTACCCAAACCTATATATTATAACTAAAATTTTTTATTTAAAGTTTGTAAAAGTTATAAAAATCGAAATATAAAATTTCCAGGCAAATTTGCCTGGAAAACAGTTACGCAAATTAATTGACAAAAGTAACGCAAATGGTTATGATCTACATATAAAAATAACCCAGAATTTTTTTTTTCAAATTTCAAGATATCTCAAGATCCAGTGATCAGAATTTAGCGATTTTAATGTTATTCGAATAGTCTCAATGAGACGGATCGAATGGCATAAAAATCGTTAAATTCTGATTGCTATATCACAAGATAATGTGATTTAAATGATTTTTATCTAAGCTCAACGATCTTGATACCTAGTGATCAGAATTTGATGATTTTGGTACCATTCGATTCGTCTCGATGAGACGGTTCGAATGGTATCAAAATCGTTAAATTCTGACCACTAGATCGCGAGATATTTGCAAATAACGATTTGCGGCGCAGTTTTTTACAAGAATTCTTGTAAAAAAACTGTGCCACAAAGTGTTTTTTGCAAATATCTCGCGATCCAGAAGTCAGAATTTAATGATTTTGATATCATTCGAACCATCTCATCGAGACGAATTGAATGGTACCAAAATTATCAAATTCTGACCACTAGGTATCAAGATCATTGAGCTTAGATAAAAATTATTTAAATCATATTATCTTGTAATATAGCAATCAGAATTTAACAATTTTTATGCCATTCGATCCGTCTCATTGAGACGATTCAAATGGTATCAAAATCGCTAAACTTTGATCATCAGAACTTGAGATATTATAAAATTTGTAAAAAAAATTTTTTAATTATTTTTAGGTGTAGATCTTAACCATCTGTGTTAATTTTGTTAATTAAATCCATGTAATTGTTTTCCAGACAAATTTGCCTGGAAAATTTAAGCTGTTTTAATTTGAAAAAATCATACATTAGGGGGCTTTTATTTATTATAAACTGGTGCTATAAAAATATTTATCATGTGATTTGAAAATTGCAGGCAAATTTGCCTAAAAAACAGTTTAAGAGATAATAAAATTTTACATTTTCAGTTTAAAATATCTAAATCTGCAAGTGATCCTTTGTATTCCCACATTATAAGATTCTTTGCATCCCATAATGATAATGCATAGAGTTTTATTTGATTATTCAGTACAAATAAATAATTAAGAAAAATATATCTACTATTATATAATCTATAGGCATTATTTCTTAATGCGTATAAATTAGCAAGTTTAATTTTTAATGCTTTATTTATATCGAATTTATATATGCCTATTATGCGGCAAGTCATTCTGTTTATTTATAGCAGTGACCAATAAATTGTTAAATCTTCAAAGACTTTAATGTCAGCTCATTGTGAAACAAGTTACGAGTGAATGTTTAATATCAGCACATTATTTTAATAAATTGTAAATTCAATTGTTTACATTTTAGCTCGATACAATATTTCTTTGGTTTTCTATAGTCGAGATCTATATCTCTAAAATTATAAGCTGAAAAGTCTTAATCCTACAAATTAACATATCCAACCACTTCATCATCATAATATGAGTCTTCATCACAATCTTTCTGGTCATTACCACACCACTATTATCATCATCACTACCATCATTTTTGTCATCATCATTTTCATCGTCATCATTTTCATCGCTATCATTTTCATTATCTTCATTACTATAGCCATTACTATTATTGTCATCACTATTACATTATTGCTATTATCGTTTTGGGTCAAATCAACAATACTTTTACCATCACTTGCGTGATCCTCATCAGCATATATATATTTACCTGGGTTGTGAATAAACAGTATTAGACAGCCATTAAATATATAAAAATTATGAATAAACAAATATTTAATGATTTTTTCCCATTAGACTATGTAAGCAAACACCCTGATATTTACCATTTTTATTTTGAGACTCTGGATTATTAACCCAATCATAATTAAACACTAAATCCTCTTCAGTCCCATCTTGAATAGTGGAGATGCCACAACACTTGAATGAATGTTTGATAAGGGTGGGGTCAACTTGGTTCCATGCTCTTAATACCCATTTGGCCACTAAATTATAGGTGGGTCTACTATTAAGGGGGGTCTTTTATATGGCGTTTTACGGTAATTTCATGTCTTTTTTCTTTTACCATGATCATGAATACTGTATAACTCAAGTAAATGTTCACAATAATTATGCATGAGTGACAACTTATTTTTAATAAAAGCAATTTTGATGAACATTTCGACATTGCTAGTTTTTTTATATGAATTCCACAAATAACTATATTACCTAATGTATTTTAACATAAAAAATTCAACTAATTTCACTAAAAAATTCGATAACTATGGAATTTAATTTCGCCACTAAGAAAATTAATTTCAACAATCTAAATTTCGAAATAATTTTTTATTAAGATTAGTAATTAGACACCCATGTATAGTGACAACTGTAAAACGGCGAGTCTGTCGCTAATCGAATCTAGACGTCGTGTAACCTACGAACGGCTTAGTCGAGAGAAGCGTTTGGATTTGGCGAGTGGTGATTTTAAGGTCGTAGGTATACCTTTCTTAACGTATATGGAGACTTCAATAACACATGATAAATCTTATACTTTCTATTTTTAATTATTTTTACACAAAACCACGGCTTGGACCTTCCTCTTGGATCTCAAACTGGAACACAAACAACCACAGAATCCACAGTCCATCAGGAAACTGGAAAACAACTACAACTATCCACGGTACGTTGGGGGAGTTGGAAAACCACAGCACGTCGAGGATCAACCGGAAAACAATCTTCTATGAAGTCACGTGATCAAGACAATTAGGCGAACGAAGATCTTTCACTATGTCACTTAGTGAGCGATCTGGGTGGTAAGTAAGTACTAAGATGGGTTTATTCAGGTTACTTAGGTTTATATGGGTCAGAAGTATTTACTTAGAACGATAATTGTAAGCAGCACGAAACTTATTTTCCGTAGGGCCTTTGCGGCCTTTATTTATAACAAAAGATTTGGTATTACAATGAATGCGATATATCAAATAAAAACGATAAATTGTATAAATTCGCTAAAAGCGATAAATTTGATAAAAACGATATGGTAAAAGCGATATATCGGATAAAAGCGATAAATTCGATAAATCCGATAAATTCAATAAATGCGATAAATCGCTCTTGACTCGCGACCCTGGGCCGGACTGAGCCGCAACAGCTACCGGGTTCACAATAGCAATAATATTTCTAATATTGGAAATCTAGCCGAAGAAATGCCAGCACCTGCCGTTCATTGATTTAACCCAGATACTTAACAATAAAATTAAATAATCAATTATAGTTCATTTACGTTCCCTTTATAAATCAGAACAGCCTCTTTTTCTCTAAAAATTTTGCTAAAAATTACGTTGTTAAGGATTAGACTTCACTATGCCAAGAGCTGAATTTGGTTAATTGGCAGATTTTTCTAATTTTAGAATTTGTTAAAAAATATTACCGCATTATTCAAATATAGTAAAATATTTTAGCTAGAAAAATGATCTCTTTGTCTTTATTCTGATTATACAAATATTCTAAATTTAGAATATATAAAAATTCATTTGCAAACGAAGAATCTTCAATTAGATCAATACTCAAATCCAATGTAATATTTAGTCTAAATTACTATGTAATAACGTTAAGGATGTTGCAGATATTTAATAAATGGCGTTGCATCAACATCATTTCTGCCTAAATTTCCTAAATTCCAATTTTCCTCTACAGTACTCAAGAATGAGTAATGATTGTATGAGGTATCATCGAGATGATTATCTGGGGGTTGGACGGGACAGCCGAAAAGACCGGTGAAAATATGATTGTTACCGCCATATGCGTCTTCATCAAAAGTGATGAAAAACAATGTATTTGTTGTAAAGGCTGGATTCTGAAGTTTTGGCTCAAACCAACTTTGAAACCAATTCATCGCAAATTCTATACCAGTATCATGACCATCATTATTTTCATTTGGAACATAATAGGCAAATTGAGGTACTCGATTTGCGTTTATATCCACATCAAGTTGGGAGTCAGGAACAATTTTTTCACAACGAGAGGGATCAGAACTTATGTCTACCATTGAAATGAAAGGATTATGTTTTCTTGCATAAAGAACTGTGCCTGGAGGAGCAAAATCACCTGTGAAACTGTTACTGGCTACAAAAGGGTAGAGAAAACAAATAAATTCCAAAAAAATGACTCTATTGATCATAAAATGGATCTGATATAAAATACTTACGGTAATTTTCCATATAAGCTTTCCAAGTGATTCTTTTAGCCTCAAGAAGGTCAACTATATTCGCACCAGAAATATTGTAGGCATTATCGTCAGTAACGCCAGCAGTTGATCCAAAAACCGTTGCAATGTAGTTGGGCTAAAAGAGAAAAAATATTCTTTATCTATATTCATAAAGTTTATGATTATAATTTAGGTTGAAAGAAGTAGAAATAAACGAACGAGTGACGGATGCGTAATTGCGTAATAATTAGAAAGCAGAAGCCCATTTGAACGATTCATCAAGTCTTGCAAATAAGGTTGTTGTATTGCTTTTACATAGTCAGTATTTTCAAATATGATTAAAAAGATTCGATCAAAAAATTTCCCTGGCACAATAGCATCAAGCACAATAGCATCAATGGCCGCTCCAAAAACAATAATCGATAAAAAAATGGCGAATATGAAATACTTCATCATTCTTTTATGTACGAATTGATAAAAAACTTAAATTTATCGTATTTTTATATGAAATAAAATATAATGTATAAACAAACAGAGTATCCTATTATATAATTTATTTAATTAGCTTTCTGTAGCGTAATTTTTTAACAAGAAAACAAGTTTCTTCTTTATCATAAACTACCATTACTAGAGCATCCACAAACTATTCTTACTTTTCTTCAATATATTAAATATGACTTTCCCTCCTACTACTCATCAGATCTCATTAAAATTTCTATTCTAAACAACAAAGATTACAATAATAGTTATACTGAGGCACATATCTATCTTTCACATGAGCCATTTCCACTTCTAACTATTTCACTCTACTTTTCCCCTCTCTACTTCATTGGTTTAGCTATGTTCCTCTTAGGTTAAACCAACCTCCCTCTCCAATATTATTACCTAACTCAATCTACTATTCTTTCAATCTCTCTTCTTCTTCTTAACCTCTCATATCAAATATATCAACTCCTTCTCTCTCTCTTCAACCCAATTATCTATCTATTTCTATCAAAATTGCCTCTCTAAATATTAATGGTCTTCGCCAATCAAACAAAAAACTTTCACTC